GGGAACATGTACCGAACTTCCAAGTCTCAACTCATGCTAAATATTATTCGTTCTTTTGTAGCGGCGCCAAGGACTTCGAGTTTTTTTTTTGTCTTTCGATGCCATTTCAGGGGTCATGATAGGTATCATGGGGTATAGGCAATAGACATCAGTGGGGGTCGAGGGATATATGTAGGACGTAGGTATTGGGCTGCTGTGCACTCGCAGGCTCCTCCACCACGTATAAGTGGATCCAGGAAGGAGGTCTGAGACGCCCCAAAAAACGTTTCTCCATTTTCCAAAAAAAAAAAAAATGAATTCCTACTTTTCGGTCCTCACCCACTGCTGTGCAATAAAGCAGACTTTTCCTAATATGTTCAGTTTTTCTTTCTTGAAAAAAAATAACGACAAATTTGCATCGATATCGAGCGCTGCGTGGAGAGCATTTGCCCCAAATGCCCCCGGCCCCGTGGTTCCGCCAGCGCCACGACGCTCTGGGCAGAAAGGGAAATTCACGAAGGAACTCATCCCAGCCAGTGTCTGGAGAATGGTCCGTGATAGTAATAGTGCTCCACCCGACATCTGCTGGACAAGACACGAGGCTGAGCTGACAGAAACCACAACCAACCATAGTTTCAAGACCTGTCGTCAGGTGGCAGCACGTGGTAAGCAGTGAGCAGCGGACCCCGTGCTGCCATCTAGCGACCGGAGCTCCGGCCACCTGCAGGCAGCCGAGAACGCTGACACTCCAGCGCAGCCGGTGGGGTATACCTACTGTACTCCACTCTATTCTTATCTGCTCAATTATTCTCTTTTCTATTCGAATCAGCCCGAATCGAGCTGACTCGATTCGACTCGACCGGACTCGACTCGACTCAAATCGACTCAACTCCAACCCTCGGGTACTCACGTTTCTCGTAGTATCGCCGGCGGTATCAGACAGTACGCCAGTGGCGGCTCAGGCGTCTCACTACCAGGATAAAGCAGCACCTCCTGTTCACAGCAGGCCGCGCAGCAGGAGGTCTCCTGGTCCAGTCCGCAGCAGCAGTCATCAGACGACTCGGAGCTGGGCTGCTGCTGGGTCAGCTCTGAACGGCTGCCCCAGCGGCGTAGCTTCCGCAGCAGCTCGGCCATTGCGTGATACCAGGTCAACGGAGGTCACCGGAGGTCACCGGAGGCAGGTGAGACCAACTCAAGACCGATCAGTCGAGGCCACACCGAATGCTTCAAACAGTCGTATTCGCCTCACATATAGAGCACATCTATGGTATGGCTCGCTAAATCGCACAGCTTCCGCCTCCCGGCCACTCACTGGCGTCCCCGCCGAGGGACAACTATGGTCTCCTCAGTCCGGAATCGGAATCTGACAGCACACCGGCTGCACTACGTGGAATCTTCACCAGTCACCACAGCTCGTCACTCTCAACAAAAGCAGCACCACGAGTAGTTTACACCACCAGCCGTCCCAACTCGTGAAACTTTCCTCACCAGTCACACCACGAGAAACCTTCACTATCCAACGAACCTCAGCACACTCTGCTCACTTCTTCACATCACCACTGTCGACTCGACGAAAAGCTCTGCGTCTCTTCTCCCTCCTTTCTCTCAGTCCACCACCTGACTTCGATTGTCCCTCACGCACTGCTCACACGCACGCACACACGCTCGCTCCTCTCAACAGCACTCTCGACTCCACCCTGTCGAAACCAACACTGCACGCCAACTCTAATGCGAGCCGCCACCGCCTCAGCGGCACACCATTGTCACTGGGGCTGACCCCGGGTCACAGAGGTCAGAGGTCAACCCCGGGGCAGCGGTGGTGTGACCTGCCGTTGGGGCGGTCCCAGCGAGAGGTGGCGCAACCCGACGCTGTCTCTCACGCTGATGGGAGGGGTGTGACCCGCCATGACCTGATATGATACGCCTTCGGCTTGACGTGGGTCTGTGGGACATGATGCTAAGGAAGGGTGCAACGCACGCACAATGAGTGAAGAGGATGACATGACAGCGGATGACCCAAACAGGAACCGGCAGGAGAAGTCAAGGAAGCAAAAGGGATGATCAGTCCGAAAGAATGACAAATTGAAGGAATAATGGACAATTCGTGGAGATAAAGGACCATAGATGCAGAAGAAATGAATCAAAGGCCACAGTAGGCATATAGAAACTGCTCTGATGATGGCAAAACTGCAAATGATTCAGCGTGACCATAAAAGGAAAATGTCCAACAAAATATGAATCGATTTTTGGTGGTGTTCACAAAGGGAAACCGGGATACCAGCGTAAGCTAGCGAGAAGCATTAGCCGACGCTTCTTTATGTAAAACTATGATCAACCTCGATCCAACTGTTAGAAATCGCCAAAAGGTCATTTGTTTTGTCTAAGTGACGAATTCACAACGAAGAAAGTCATATATACATAGATAAGTGCGATGTTGCGTGTCAATCACCCCTAAATAACCGAAGCATAAAGCCAACAATAGAGCCATTTAATGACACCCAACGGTGTCAATCACCGACCACGTGACCTGTGGTGGGTGTCATCCGCTGATCACGTGACCTGTGGCGGGTGTCAGCAGCTCCGGAGGATGTGAAAGGCTGCTCGCTTCCTGGGCGATGGTTCCAGTGTCAATCATCATACATAACTGACAATGAGGGTCCCAGGGTGCGGTTTGCTGTGCGGTTGAACAGAATTGAGATATGTGAATATGTCATTATAAGACTGGGTCATTAGCCGATCGCCTTTTCTCCTTGCATCTGGGCATTAATGATAATTATATTATAGGTAATAGTCTTTTCACCTACAATTGCTCGTCCGGATTCTGAATTACGTCTAAACTTGCTATGCATAACTGTGATCTTCTCATAAGCCAAGCTTCTGAAGCCATTTATAAACGTTACAGTTTACACCCGCAAGGCCGCAAGCTGGCCGACCAGCACAGCCCAGCCTCAATTATTCCACCCTCTAAACCGGTCCAAGTCCGGTCTATACCGTTCTCTACACTCATCCAGCAGTCCGCAAAACCCACACTACGATACGATCTCATTTCTCTTCAGACCTGTGCCAAGTTTGCCAGCCCGACTACATAGATCACGCCAGGAGAACTCACGGGTGATAGTGAAACTCTGGACAAGGTTCGTCCATGGCTACGACCCGCGGCACTGCTGGAGGGAGGGGCCCCCGGCACCCCGCGTGCAGCAGTTCCCAGGACCTCGCCCGTGCACTAATGACAGAGAGAAAGTGCACGAGTGCGCATTACAGAGTGAGATAGAGGAAAAGATCATGGATACGTTTGTAGATATGACTGCACTAGCGATGGAGCTAGAATTATCTGCGGTGGTGGGGAGCGAGCGTTACTCGAAAATCGATAATAGAGATATCAGGTGAGGATATCGGGCGAGTATTGAACTAGTTGATAATTGGCAACCCATCTCTAGTGATTTTCATCATTCTAGTGCATCCCATTATCAAAACTTTCAATGAATCAGTCACAGTTATCAAGTGAAGCCTTGAGCGGAACACCGTGCCAAATGGACCCATGCGCAGGACTTCCGTCCAGTGAGGCATATCCTCAGTCTATAAGCCAAGTTTGTCAGAACGGATGCCCAATGAGTTTCTTCAGCACTCAGGACTCGCTGGAGCGTACGGAGCGCATCTACGCTTCAACAGACACGTTTTGAGCTCAAAACTTCACTCGGCGAAAGGGCTCTTCATATGGCCGTAAGTCATTACTTCATCAATCTTGTGAAATTGCCCTAATCGCTGTTGATGATAGCGAGCATTTTATCAACAACAATAGCGGTGATTTACGTAATTCGGCAAATGTTTTAGCCTAAAAATTGAAATATTGTCGAAATAAGCATGCAAGTTTTTTTTCCCAATTTCAGAGAAATAATAATTTAAAATCAATGTATAAAAAAAAACATATAACAAAACATTGACAAAACAAAATATTTTTTTTACTTTTACGAAAACTTTTACTTTCAGTTTTCGTTTTGAAGTATTATAAATAGCAGTACATACGTAGCTACCAAGAAAGAAACTTTCGCTGGCATAGTTGGCTATATCTTCCATCATGTTTTCAATCAAGTTACTTGATTCATTTATCATTATTCGTTATGTGATAAATCTAAGGAAATGGAAAGATAATCTCAATGAAAAAGATGTATTAGGTGTGTTATTTTTAGATATAAAAGTCAGTAATCGAGGTCAATGCGTTCTGGTACACATTCTTTGAAGTTTGTTTTACTTAGGAAAATGACTTGATGGCAAAAATGTTTTATGATTGTAATATGCTTATGTAAGCTACGAAAACGCGTTCAAATATTTGCAATAGTTCTGCTCTTTTGAATGCCGTTATCATACAAACGCTCACGCAATGCTGGAAATGAACACGCAAGAAAATCAAAAATCTTCACTTAAGCCAACGAAGACAATGACCATTTCCTGCACAGACAAAGGGCAAATGCCATTTTCTAACAACACTTTGTTAGCCAACAGGTATTTTAATTTTGCACAGCAGTTTGTTTGGCAGTCAGGTTTGAGATGGGTACAGGCACAGCTAATATTCGATAGACTATGCATTGTCGTAAAACAGGAATTTGCAGTCAATGATAACTATCGATCTGTGATGCCAGATGTGCTGCCAAATACGAGAAAAAAGAAATTCTTGCATCGGTGAAGCTTGAGACAAACACCGACCGGTTCATCTCAGTGGCGAGCCCAGCAACAGGGAAACGGCCATTCATCTGGAGAAATTTAACAAATAACGACAATGGCGGTATCCTCTGTACAATCCATTGTAGTTTTTTTAATCATCAAAGCAGTGTTTTTCTAAGATAGTTATGTTATGATGGGTTTATAGGCTTAGTCAAGATAGTTATGATAGGTTTAAGGTTATGATAGGTTCAGTATGGTTCAGCTGCTTTGATCTTCGTCGCTAACTGTGAACAGAATCAGCTCCTGCCTACGCGGAGAGATCAACCCAGCTGCGTTTGGACCTCCTGTGGTCTGCTGCCGGACCTCCCGTGGTCCCGCCGCCGCCTCCGCCTCTGGCCGGACCAGTTCAACCGTTACCTGGGGTCAGCGCTCACCTCACCTAACCTCCCGGCCGCCGCCGCCGCCGCCGCCGCCGGAACCGTCACTTCTCGCCCGACCATGGCCCCGCGCACACGGTTCACTGTTCCTCTGCTACTGCTGCTAGTGCTGCAGCTAGCAGCAGCTCAACAGCGGCAGAGACTAGACGTTCAAACCATCTCCGGACCGACCAATTGCGAGCGTCGCGCGCGTGCTGGGGATGTGCTCTCCATGCATTATACCGGCACGCTGGAAGACGGAACTCAGTTTGATTCGAGTCGCGGCAGGCGGCCGTTTGAGTTTGAGCTCGGAGCTGGGAAGGTGATCCGGGGGTGGGATCAGGGGCTGGTGGGGATGTGTGTTGGGGAGAAGAGGAAACTGATCATCCCGGCGCATCTTGGGTGAGTGAAACGACGGCAGGTCACTGACCTGACCTGGGCTGGGCTAAGTGACAGTACACATGAGATTTGACTGGTAATTGCTAATTGGTGTTAGTAACAACTGTCTATAGATAATTGGTAAAATATTAGTAATTTGATGCTACCCTTTGCTGCTAGCGTTGCGCTTCCTTGGAAAAGTTTTGCTGCAGATTGTGGCTGTGCTAACTGCTATTGTGCTAAAATTATGGCGTATTGATAGGTTTGTGCGTTGCGCGCTGTCAGAAAATAGTTTAACCCTCGCCCATGTAGGGGGGGGGGGTTGGTGCAACCCCCCCCCCCTGAGGTTTTTCGGAAATAGTGCAAAAACGGCGGCGCGCAGCGCCGCCAAATTTTGGGTACCTTATGGGGCAAACCTTGCGCATCTTTTGATAAAAAAAAAAATTGACCGGGTCATGTCAGGTCACGGAGTTATGACGTCACAAAGGGAACAGCCTCCGGCCGGATTTTCACAAACTGAGTGCCAACGCCCGAGGTTTCCTGCCGGTGGTACGGACATCGGTTGATGGATCGTGATGAAACTTCCCATGCATGTTGGGGCAAGTATTGGCTATCATATGGTATAAGAAACTTGACCGGGTCAGGTCAGGTCACGGAGCTATGACGTCACAAGAGGAACAGCGTCCGGTACTATTTTTGAAAAGCGCCCGAACCACTATTTTGCTAATTCTTGTCACCTCAATGGGAATATGCAGCAATATTAGCTTCTATAGGGAGCAAATGGACCTCCCAAATCCAAAAATACAATCAGATTTCAAAAATTTAAATTTTGATTTTTCGAATTTCTGCCGCCGACTGTGACCTTGCCGACTTCCGGCGCTCCCAACGCGCCATTTTTAGAGCTAGGGAAACGAAATACATACCAAACGATAGAGAATTGATCAAGGAACACGATAGTGAAGGTTTCAAGTCGATATCTCCCACCGTTTTGCCGCAATCGCCGCGGAAAGTTGAAAAAAGTCTATTTTTCCGAAAATTTGACCTTTGACCGGTCAAAAGTAAGTCAAATGTTGACCTAGGACCAAAAAAATACCACCAATCGCGAGATCTCGGCGAGAGCAATCCGTTGGTCTTTTCCGCTAAGCTCTACGACGCTCCGTTTTCAAACGCCAAGGGGGGGTCGCACCAACCCCCCCCCCCCCCTGCATGGGCGAAGGTGGCAGATCGCCGTTTACGGGCGAGGGTTAAATGTCAATCCAAACTGAAAGTAGTACCTTTCAAAATTGTCCTTCCCCTGGAAATAAAGAGAAAAATGAGAGAGAGTGAGAGGGGGAGAGAGAGAAGGAGAGAGGAGAGAAGGGAGAGAGAGAGTGAGAGAGAAAGAAAGAGAGAGAGAGAGAGAGAGAGAGAGAGAGAGAGAGAGAGAGAGAGAGAGAGAGAGAGAGAGAGAGAGAGAGAGGGAAAGAGACGCTTGCGTGACGGGTAGTTAACCCGCGCCCGGCTGGGGGTCCTGGATTTCCACGCCCTGCTGGGGGGGGGGGGGGGTGTTTAAACACCCCCCCTTCTAACTCGGCTCCTGGGCCACGTAGCGATACGCGGAAGGCGGCGTTCGAAAGAGCGTCAAAAATAATGACGAAATCACTTCGGTCAATTTTTTGGTCAGGTCAAAGGTCAGGTCACCAGAGGTCATTGAAGGCAAAATTTCGCCGATTTCCAGGTCAAATGTCGAAAATTTCCAAGAAGCCAACGCATAACTCGGGAACCAATAGAGCTACAGCGCCGCGGAAAAGCGCATTCGATAGCCCTATTAACGCCCTTTCTGAGTAATTCTCTCAGATTTGACCTAACGCCAACGGTTTTGCCTGCAGGGGGCAAAAACTGCAAAAAACCGATTTTTTCGGAAACAGTTTTTCTGCAATAACTTTTGACCCAAGCCTTGTACGAGCTTACTTTTACCGGCATCGTGTTCCTCTTGTCAAGACGCATCGAATGAACTATAACTTGACCTTGAAAGGTCAACTTGAAAATTTGACCTCAGGACAAGGTCATGACCTGACCGGAAAGGGTCATGTTGCATATCAGTCGATCCGTATCGTCGAGCTGAACACATCTAAGGTGTTTTCATCGCTCTAGCATGCCTCTATCAAAAGTTATTTGCGAAAAACTGTTAGATACCATTCGTGACCTAAGATGACCTCAGGGCATAAACAGGGGTCACGGACACCATTTTCATGTTCAGTGTGTCTAAACCACTTGTAATTCAGTGTTTGGGAGTGTTTATAATGTCTTTCGTCCAAAAGAGACGCATTTCAATTTTCTCCCATTGATTTATAATGGGGAGGTCGCAAAATTGACCTGACCTTAGGTCATCGATATCAAAATTCTGAGATATACATTTTGTACATGCTATTGCTCTTATCAATCGCTGAAAGTTTCAAAGCGATCGGTCACTCGGTGTAGCTATGACAGACATTGAAACTTTTTATGAGGTGAGGTCACTTCAAGTGACCTGGTGACCTGACCTTGAATGACCTTCGTCTGAAATTTTCATAACATGTGTAGAATTGATGCATGATAAGGTGTACCAAAAACGGCGGCGCTCCGCGCCGCCGTTTTTGAGATATTCGCGAAAAACCACAAGGGGGGGGTGTTCAAACACCCCCCCCCCCCAGCAGGGCGCGGGTTAAAGAGAATGGAACAAGCGCAATGCGCATTCATGGTCGTGATATAAGAAAAGTGAAGAACCCCGCCATTGCATAACTCAGTCATCGCTGTTGATGCCTGAACGACGCACAAGAGATAGCCTGACCAAGGCCAGGCCCGAGTTTTTGTGCTCATTAATTTGGCTTGCTGAATGCAGAGTTGGAGTTTCGGACTCCATGGTATGACTTTGGTTACATGGTCTTCAGTGATGCAGAGTCCTACTGATGTGGCTTACATCAATCATTTTCTTTTGGTATAACAAGTATTAGCCTGAACTGGGCGGCGTACACATTTACCGTAAGACGGTTATGCCAACATAACAAAGACCAACAAAGGTCACGCAGGGCTCCAACCTCTACGAACAATGCTGGCGTCTCGGCAGTGAGCCGACGGTCCATTTCCGTGCTGTTTTAATCGGTCACGCTTTTTGGAGCGCCTTAGAAAGCGGATAAAGAACTAGAGAAACGGGTCAGCCATCCTAGTTCGTATTTAGTGGGAGAGCGCGACACAGAGACCGGTCTATCCTTTGATAATTGGAGAGAATGGGAGGGAGGGAGAGAGTGGAAGGGAGAGAGGGAGGGAGAAAGAGAGAGCTGAGAGAAAGAAAGAGAACACATGGAGAAAAAGGAATGGAAGAGTGAGGAAGGGTGGAAGAAAGAAAGGAGAAAGGGAGAAATAAAGGAAACAAATAAAATATTTTTCAATGTCGACAATATTTTCTTCAAGCTCCCCGTGCGCATTAAGCCGGATTCTAGGCATGCTACTGACATATAAACGTTTGGTGTCGTAACTAATAATAATGTAAGACACAAGAGTCACAAGTTACAGCAAAAGAAGCTCATGGAAAACGAGCATTACAGATATTTACTGGTTGTTAAGCATCTCCGCTTTTTCTGTCGACTTCAGGTTTATTGACATCTGTGGCGTTCCAGATCAGCGCAGTGACCTTTGACCTGCGTTGTGACCTTTGACCTTTGTCGGCAGATACGGAGACCGCGGCGCGGGTTCGATCCCGCCCGGTGCCACGCTGCTTTTCGATGTCGAACTTCTCGAGATCAACCCTCAGCCCAAACCTGAGCTCAAGGTTGGTAGAGTAATAATTGCATAATTATTCAAATTAGCTGTTCATTATTTATCTGTCAAGTTTTCCTTTAACATTCTAATCAAAACTACATGGCCATTTTTAATGCATGATGGCCAGATTCGGAATATGGAAAACATTGCAACATTTCAACTTTTAAAAGCTCACTTACAACTGGAGGAAAAACGCAACTAAAGAAGAGATCTAACAAGGAGGAAGAGATGAGTGTACTGCCTTGAGAGAGAACTTAGAGAGAGAATAATCACCCACATCTTACCCAATTTCCTTTGCCCTTTTCCGTTACAGATCAAGAGGACGTTTAGCCCGGAGAACTGCCCGGTCAAGTCCAAAAACGGAGATAAGCTCGGTATGCACTACACGGGAACGCTCACAGATGGCACCAAGTTCGACTCCAGCCGGGACAGAAACGAGGTCTTCGAGTTCGAACTGGGCGCACGCAAGGTGAGAATTAGGTAAATTATATTGATATAATACGGTCAATGACATGAAATCACAGCTACACGAATTTATACTATGTATGACTGTGACTATTAAACGATTGGAAAGACTTCAAACTGAGATCCATGCAAGTAAATAAGCCGAGAAATGCGGCGATTCTGAACTGCTTCACCAGCATCAAAGCGCAAACGAATAATATGTTTTGCTATTTCAAAGTAACCTTCCTCAAAGCGTCCATCAGTGTAACTAGCTGACAGTTGCTGGCCTTAGCCTTCTGCTTAGTAACACAACTGCTCCTGCTTCAATAACTTTGTGAGACGTGTATACGTGTTCACGAGTGACCCTTCTGAGCATGAGTGACCCTCCGTGACCCCTCTAACCCCCGATGACCCCTCATTGACCCAACTGACCCTTTGTGACCCAATCGACCCCTTGTGACCCTCTATTGACCTCCATTGACCCCTGCCACAGGTGATCCGCGGCTGGGACCTCGGTCTTATCGGCATGTGTCCCGGTGAACGTCGCCAGCTGACCATCCCTCCCGAACTTGGCTACGGCGACCGCGGTGCCGGTGGAGTCATCCCGCCCGGAGCTACGCTTCTCTTTGACGTCGAACTGGTCACAATCAACGGCGTGGGAGCTGCCCCGGCCGCCCCCGCCCCCGCTCCCGCCCCGGCACCGGCCCGGGGGGCGAGACCGCCCACAACACAACCGGTGAGTCTGATGGCGAGTTGATGTCTGCGGGTATGATGTGACTGATATCTGGTATGACGTGAGCGCAATAGTGATTCAAAAGCTCAGTTTTTGTTCCGCCATTTGACCAGGATGAGGTTACATAATACAAAGAAATGTCACTAGAGCAGCTGTGCCTGCAAGGTTTTCCTTCCTTGTCCCAGTTTCAGATACCGAAGAAGGAAATCATTGCGTGCTTGTTCGTAGCATGTAGAAATTGAGCGCAATAGAAAATTTAGTTATGTAATTTACGACGCTAACTCGTTCAGCGTACTGAAAGACCTAACAGTTTTTGTCGTCTTCAGTTGCACTTGTCAACTTCTACAATAATTTAGAAAAGCGTGAATAAGATGCTGAGTGGCCCCTATCCTCCATTACAGACCCCAATTAAACAAGACTCTCCATCACCTACGCCAGCGACCCCTATCTTTCTATTACAGACTCCCCAGAACTATCAATACCCTCCATTACACTGAAACACTTCCCTTTATTAAAGACTCTCAGTGACATTGCCTCACATTAAAGCCTCCCACTGATACGTTCTCTATATTACAGACTTCAATTAACTCCTTCCCTCCATTACAGACTCCCAGCGACGCCTTCCCTCCATTACATACTCCCAGTGACGCCTTACCTCCATTAGAGACTTCCAGTGACACATTTCCTCTATTACAGGCTCCCATTAACACCTTCCTTCCATTACAGACTTCCAGTGATACATTTCCTCCATTACAGACTCCCAGTGAGATACATTTCCTAGTGGAACATTCCCTCCATTACAGACTCTAATTAACCCCTTCCCTCCATTACAGACTCCCAGTGACCAGCTGCAGGTGCGTCACATTTCCGGACCGCGCCGCTGCCGCAGGAAGACTGAGGCCGGAAACAAGGTCTCAATGCACTACACAGGTGAGTCAAGTCCACTACGCGAGGCGGATAATGTTACAAATGATACTGAGAGGCTAGCGGTTACAAGAAATACGACAAAGTGAGACAGCTTAACACACTTGCTTTTGTTAAGTTCTGTTTTTAATATGCCGTTCCGTTCCGGTAACAGAGTCACGATTATGACACCGTCATACTTGTCATGGTCAAACGCATGGGGTGGAATATTTTGGTTTGGGAAAGTTCATCTTAGGATGCCCTCATGAGGTCAATGTTATGTCAAAGCCGTTATGAAGTTTGAAGTTTGTCATGAACGATAATGAAGTTTGTCGAAAGAAGTCGCATAACAATCAGCCCAAGAATACCTTTGACCTATGACCCACTCTGACCTCGTTTGCCCTTCTCCAGGCACGCTGACCGACGGCACCAAGTTCGATTCGAGTCGGGACCGTGGCACACCCCTCGAGTTCACCCTGGGGCGAGGTCAGGTCATCGCTGGCTGGGACCAGGGTCTGCTCAACATGTGCCCGGGGGCGCGTCGTCAGCTGATCATCCCTCCCCGACTGGCCTATGGCGATCGCGGTGCCGGTGACGTCATTCCGCCCGGCGCGACGCTGGTGTTTGATGTGGAGCTGGTGGCGATCAATTAGCGGTCCGGGCGGGGCGGGTTCGAATCCCAAAGCCGGTATTGTTTTATGATAAAATAGACTGGAGCTTGTTTCCAGCGAAAACAGATGTAAGAAGTCTTAGCCTGGCACAAAACGTGCCTTAACTTGCTGATTGCTTTTATGTTATATAGAATAAGTTAAGGTAGGTATTTCAGATGTGACACAGCGATGAGTAAGCAATAGAATTTGAGATCAAAAGGAAATTAGAATTTGCCATTGGTTTCGTCTCTTGCAACTCTTGATAATATATAGTTCACAGTGTAGCAGTGTAACACGTGTTATTAGTGTTGTGGAAGTTTTGCCTTCATGATCTTGTTGTTAGTCATTATTCTTGTGTGTTGGTGAGGGATCAAGTGAGTCGATTTGAAAAAATATCGCCAAATATGTGGTCTTCTGACTGTTTGTCAAGTGTTGCCCTTGCCGCAATATCAGAGATCTCCGAAATATACCATATATCGGACATTACGAAAGGTTTATGAAGTCATGGGTTGGAGGAGCTAAAAAAATCGGTAGAAAGAATGCCCTTGAACGCTTCATTACACTTACAAGCACACCTGTATATGCTTTCAACATTTAGTTTTTTCTTTGAGCTTTTTTTACTTGAGCGTACATAAAGAAACAATCCTAGAAATGACAGGACGTTTGACTTAGACGCAAGCTACCACACCATTCGCAATCGGTAATTCTCAACTCATCTCATTCCAAGCGCAAATAGCCTGAAGGCTCATGAAACAGCTACTCGGCTGCTGCTCATTGTGGGCGTTTCCTTCCGTGTAGCCTGAAAAAAGGTAAAATATCTGCCCATCGGCACCCATTTTCCCACGGTGGTGAGCGGCACTTCAGAGCCGTGTCACGTGCCCGGAAGTACCGTCATTTGGTCGTGGGAGTGGCGGTGGTCTGGAGCCAACATGACGGCTGCAGAGAACACCGCTCTCCTGATTGTCAGTCGGACAAACCTGCCGAGAGTTGAGACTAAACATGGAATGGACTGTGAACTGTGATGCTCAGAAGATTCGCCTTCTATTGAAAGTTCACTTCCATTCCGATGCATTTGACCGATCGCATCGCTTCATATACATACATGTCTTTTGCCTTTCATATTCATTGATCATTCATGGCTCAGTTAAAAAAAAACCTTTCACATCAAACGTGGAGGATCGTCCTGAGCCTGACTCGGTCTGATATAACCAAGATCTCAGGCTTACAGTGGGAGCCGGCGACTGTGGCGCCACCTGTATGGGTCGGAGGCCGGGCTCTCCATGAAGATTGGCTGCCTGACAGGCTATAGTGTTGGCTAAGGCTGAGACCCAAGCCACTCCTGGTAGTCCTGACGGCTCTGAGGGGCTTGTTTTGCTATTCTGCCATCCTCATTTAGTTGTTTTTCGTTGGATCATGATGTTTTTGGGAAGTCTTACACAATGGGAGGAGACCTGTCCAACCCAGGTCCCCCAGGAGTCTAGTTCAGTCTCATTTTCAGTTACCAGCAATTAGCATCTCCGAAAGACCCTATTCCAGGCATAATTAGGAGGGGGCATTTCTCAACATTTTAAAGCTTGCAAAACGGCAAATAGGAGCGCACTCAGCCGTTCCTTTTACGTCATAATGGACCTCGCAACAGTCTTAGCTCAAATGTTCATCGGTTATTTCACAAGCTGTCCAATTTTAACAAGTTTCGAAGATAAACCATGACCCCTGTCATACCCGACTGCGCGGACAATTCCCACAGACTTCGCGCACTAGCGATCACGCCACGCACGAATGAACTCAGTACAGGGCAGCTCGATGGACGAAATAACATGGCTGTTCATGACATAAATATTCTTACTAGAATGCTGACGGAGCGTGCTCAAAGAGTGTGAAATGATATTTAAATTTGAGGGTTTGGTCGTGTTGGAAGTAAGGAGTGGTTTATGAACTTCGGCCGTCTAACGGGAGTTAAAAATTGTTGTGCCAACTCGTTCAGGCTTATGCCATTTTGCATAATGCCACCTGGCTGGACACAGCAGTGGAGATGGTATCAATCATGTCTGTCCATCATTCACGACAGGGCAGCTTAGATTATTTGTTAAATAAGCCATACTTTTCCCGTAAAGATGTCATCCGTCAGCTTTGCCTCCATATCTGTAGTTATCCTTGCCACGTAAGACGGAAGGGTGCTCTTGCTTCAGCTCTCTTGTCTTCACCATAATAACCATCATGATCACCATAATCACAAACATGACCACCATCACCAACCCATCACCCATCATTTAGAAAATATTCATCATTTCATTCTCGCGTGTCCCAACTATAATTTGCAGAGAGAGGAACTTTACCGGGACATGTTGCAAATTTTTGGCGAAAATTTTGGTCAAATGTCAACTACACGGCTATTACGTGTTCTTTTGCATGGCGACGATCTTGGCGGCGGGGACTGTCGTGCGGTGGCTCAGCATTTCCAAAATTTCTTGCTTCGTTCGCACATATTTACCTATTAATTTACCTACCTCATTCAGTTTTGTGGGCGGCGTCCCCGGTGGGCTGAGTGACGTCAGCGCGGGTTGGGTCGGTGGCCTGTCGTGGCGGCGGCAGTGGTAGTTTTGTTACGGAGCGAGCGAAGCGAGCGTAGTCTTTCCTTAGATTAACGGAAATTTCTGAGTATGAGCGGCCGTGGTCACGCTTTTGCGAGGCTTATATCTCAGCAACCACTTGACCGATTTACATGCGGTAATTTTTGTAGGGTAGCTTCATTCCTTCTACCAAGTATTGGACTATTCCCGATGCATGTGGGTGACCCCTTATGCACGTGCCACGTGCAAAACGAAGAGGTGTCACTTTTGTAATTGTTGCAATATCTCGGTAACTACTTGGCCGATTGCGCTGAAAGTTGGCATGTAGGTAGGAACCCACTAGGCAATGCATATCCATGTGCCAGAGTTGGGGTGCTGCTGCACGTGCGCACGTGCAGGGGTCGATTCCAGATCTCGAGAAGGGCTGGACCGATGGCGCTCAAATTTGGTACATGGTTAGGGACCGGTTAGTAGGGAGCCGTGCAAAAGTCAGTTGGGACCCATTTTGCACGTGCGCACGTGCAGGGTGCCGCTTCCAGATCTCGAGAACGGCTGGGCCGATTGTGCTCAAATTTGGCACATCGCTAGAGACCGGTTAGTAGGGTGCCGTGCACAACTCAGTTGGAGGTACCCCCTCGCAATTTCGCACGTGCAAGGCTCACCCTCTCGCTCGCTCCGTTAGTCGCCCCAAAAGGCGTTATACTGGTTTCATTACGCTACGTTACCTTCATTACGTTGTATGTTTATGTTATATTCGACGTTGATCTGAAGGCTATGTTCATGTTGTTTTATGTTTATGATGTCTATCTGATTATGTTACAAGAGGTGGTGCCTAGAGTCAAGCACAATGTGCTTTTGCACCACTCTTATATTATTTTGCTTTATCTCTGTTATTCATGTTCATTTTCCGATCGTTTTATACTTATAGGTTGTCGATGCGCAATAAACATTCTGGAATGGAATGGAAATCACCACAACACCATCCCCCCCCCCCCAGTCCCGGGGTACTCACCAAATGAAGCAGAAAGACTCTCCATCCTCCAACTCTTCATCCCAAAGATCCAGGCAAATACCATCGGCTTCACAGCAGCACCCAGGACAGGGCGGTGGCTCAAACCGGCCACTCATCCGCTCCGCAAATGTTCGCTGGCGGTCGGAAGGGCCGAATCGACCGACGACATCGCTCCAATAGTGATGAGCCAGCCAGAGGAGGAAATAGGCGCGGTTTTCGTACTCCGGGGTGGTCAAGGAGTTGCCCATGGTGGTGAGGTTGATGGTTTGTAGAGGCTTGAGGTGGGTACAGTTGTTCCACTGGCGCTTTGAATGTCACGAGCGCCGCACGAGCACTGTATCCCGGGCGCAACTAGTTGATGTCACGTTAGTTCAGTTCGCGTTTGATATTGGAATGGTGGTCGCACATGTCTCTGTCACCACTTTGAGATAGCTGTTCAGTGTTCTCGCGCCTGGGAGTACACTATTCACGAAGGATGTTCACAGCGTTCGTCCACTTTCTCAGGTCATATCACTCCTCGTCTCACGCACTCACTTGACACCTTCACGACGAGCACACTCACCAAAACCCAGTCACCAGCTCAAGTTGCACACATCAACGTCCTCAGGTCGCCATCTCATAGGTCGTCTTGTCCTCTATCACACACGTATCCTCAGGCTGTATCCAATCCACTGTCTGACGCCTCCAGACAGGCTGTATCCGCTGTATCCGGTCCCACCAGACAGGCGGAGTCCGACACCTCCAGTCAGCTGAGTCCAACTGTCCAATGCCTCCAGACAGACTGTCCAGCCACACCAGACAGCCTGTGTCCGCCGTTCGGCGCCGCCGACCGCGTGAGACCGACTGGTCTGGTCTGGTCACGGGTGCCGGTGTTAGCCCCCGTCTGCGTCCGCTGGCGTTGAAGTCGCTCGCCCGTAACAGGCACCGGTGCGATGGTGGTGGTTGAGAGACGAGAGACGAGAGGAGAGAGACGGAGACGAGAGGCGGAGACGGTAGGCGGAGGCGGTAGACTGGAGACGGAGAGACGGGAGACAGTAGACAGTAGACGGCAGGAGACGGTAGGCGTCAGACGACGGTACAGCTGCCACAGATCTGGGAACACAGAGAACATAAGATGAAATGCGAGATGACACGGCCAACGAGCTTGCTTTCGAACGAGACTGAAATGTGAGAAGCACTGCCGCGAGTAGAGCCATATCGCCTGTCGCTGTCTGGGCTTTATAGATATGAGCCATAGATGACAAGAGAAATGAGCAAATGTGAATCACGCTCCTCCTAATGGGATTCAATATAACTGGATTTGGATATGGCAGGGACACCGAGGTTAGGCACCGCAAAGCGTCTATTTTCCAATAGATAAGGCACCATGTTCCATCAATAAACGCGCAGAAGTTTGACGAGTCTATAGGGTTCCGTCTCAATTTGTCCAAATACAGCAATTTAGGCACTTCTGGTACCCAAAAATTACCCTCGATCTCGGATAATAATGGGAATGAAGCAAACCGCATCTGACAACCCTAAACCTTTTCATTCTAAGAAAATGCGGGATCCATAGCGTAACGTCTTGGATCATTAGTCAGGTAACCTATGAACAGCATCGCTATAGCGGCACTGGGGCAGCATCCAGCTGGGAGCGAAGTGCTCTGTCGTGGGTAGCATCTAGAGATGCCAATCGGATACCAACTTGGAGTACCAATACCAGACCGATACCAACTTGGTATTTGGTATTTTTTTCTTGGAGGGGCATTTTGTCGGTTTTTGGAAGCACAGTAGATGCTATTATGGTAAAAAGTCGAGTTTTTTCTCCCAATCCTGAAGCTGGTTCTATATTTGGTATTTGTCCACGATTTTATTCTAAATTTGGCTCGATATCGGTTCCCCAATTATCTGTAATTGTCATCACTATGTA